ACACTCAGACTTGTTAATCCCCCGCCTCGGCACCCACCCACCCACCCACCCACCCACCCACGCACGCACGCACGCACGCACGCACGCACGCACGCACGCACGCACGCACGCACGCACGCACGCACTCACTCACTCACTCACTCACTCACTCACTCACTCACCCTCACACACACACACGACCAACAGACACAGGCAGGCTTCCTAGAGCTCGAGAGAGCTGGGTTTTAAAGTCTGGGGCATCGAGCACCAGCAGCACGTAAGACCTTGCATGGAAACTTAGCATCGTTGTTGAAACCCAAGCAAGCTACGGCAGCTCAGTTTTTTGAACGGACGACTGCAAGCCTGCTTCCGTTTTAGGTGAAGAAGCCGCTTCAGTTCCCGGATGGATTTGCCTCTTGGCTGTGCCGAGGTGGGCTCATTCAAGGCAAGAAGAAAAGCCTAGAGTTCTTGGCCAAAGCACTTGACATCAGCACCACTTCACGCGACAGCGCCTCAGATTCCAGAACTTGTCACTTCGGGCACCTGTCTTGGAACTCTTGGCCTCGCTTCAGAAAGTACTTATAGCATCCCTTGTTGTCCCTCTATAACTGCGTAGGAACATCCCCCTCGACCCCATTCCGATAAATTTAGGCTCCTGTAGCACTTTCCGCGGAGAGTTCAGCAACTTGCCAGCGGAGGTTGCAGATGTCGGATCCGTCGGCATCGTCGTGCAGAGTGTTGTGGATGGCCACGAAGTATCCTGACGGCGTTGGATCATGCCATTCCTCGCTCCAGCATTTAAGGGTCCAGGCTTCGGGATTCGGTGAGCAGCTGCCCGGCAATCAAAGACTTTTTTGGTGGTTCCATATTATGGATATGGTGTTATATACCCCAAAACCCCATCTTTCCGTCCTGCTACCATCAAGTGCCGGAGTTTCAGCTGGGCTGAAGGCAGATGTTGTCCAGATCCACGACGGCACAAAGGCCCGAAGCTCCGACCACGAGAGACCTGTTGCCGGGTTTTTTCGGTTCAGGGTTCAGCCTCATCCAGCCTGCATCTGATGTCTGAAAGCTGAGTGCCAGGCAGATGACCTTTCAAGTGTGCGTGTACCAGCATACAGCATACGTCCTCAAAGCCCGACGCTTATCTCGCTCCTCACAACCGTCACCGTCGCCATCGCCGTCGTCATGGTACCATCTTCATCACCATCAGTATCATCACCTTCTTCTTCTTCGCCAACACCCCCAGCATCACCATGACAAGCGCTGTCGTCATCACCGCCACGACCTTCAGCATATTCCACCGGCAATTTATTGGCATCGCCACGGTATCACCAGCACATCACAAAAATCATCCTGATTCTAAGCCCTACGCCCTAAACCCCAAAGCCTGAACCCTAACCCCTAAACCCCTAAGCCCTAAGCCCATCTAAACCCTAAAAAATGATCCTCGTAGTGGGTTTGCCCTCAGCCAGGAGAAGAGCTTCCAGCCTTTGCCTGGCACGGTTTCTCTTCTCCACGACCCCAAGGCGGATGCTAAGAGCATATAGGCTTTAAGAGGAGCCGGGCCCATGCTACTATCACAAAACCTTTTACCTTAAGGAGATGTTACAGGTTTCATGTGATCTCACAGGTCTGTATTCGGGCAGGCGCTAGCTTATAGGGGTGCCGCCACTGGGCGTAAAGAACAGATGCAGATCTCGAAAAAAGAAATCCAAGAGCCCATAGGCTGGGCCACGAAGAGCTAAACCCCCTCTAAAACCGCTCTCTTTACCCCTTCTAAACCCCCTTTCAACCCCTCTTAACGCCCTCTAAACCCCTTCTAACCTCCCCCCCCCCTCTCGGGGCGGGAATCCTAAAGCTAATAGCTGAGCTTGTAGTGAGTACCACCGGTACTTGATTGATTTAGTCTAACATGCATAAAAGATACAGTCATGTGCCCAAAGTCTTGTAAAACGATAGGGGAAACCCAAAAACGATACCCCTTGTCAAGCGGCCGCTTCTAGGAACAATAATATTGACGCGCTTGCTTTCGTTCCTGCCAGCTGTGTAGGCTCCGATTACTGAGTAGTCGTAAGCATACTTCGGCATCCCTTCTCATTGCCTCTCCAAGTCCTTGGTGCAGGAGGCTGTTGGCTGGGCAGCAGGGTCATTGGTTTTAGTTTTAGGGTTTGGGATGGTTTGGGTCTTTGCTTTAGGGTTCTAGAGATCTTGAAGGTGTCATTGGGTCCTCGCACGGTGCTGCAGTCGATGTCCGAGCTTCTGCTCTCACACTCTCCGTTCTTTAGGGCTTCGGGTTTAGAGCGCGCAAGCCGCCACCAGGACGAGAGCGGTTTCACCCATGCAGCAGGCAGCCAATCCCTGCGATGCGTGACATGGCTGCAGGGTTTCCGGGGGTCTGACTAACATACATTCCTTGTGGTTCTTCGTTATACGGTCGTTATAGTTATAGTTCCGGTAGAATGTTTGTACCCCAAACCCTACTCTGACTATAGGCTCATGCATGCTTAACGAGAGAACGAGGTCAGCGCAGCCAGTCAGCCGCATGGACGAGTCCAAAAAGTCGTTGAGGAGCAAGGGCAAAGTGAAGCCCGACAAAAACCAAAGAGCAGCGGTGCAGAGCCTAGCCGGCGCAGATGTGTTGCAGTTGCTTCTGCAGCAAGTCTGTGTGCGTGCTTCTCTGGATGGGGTGCTTGTCGAGTCTTTCTACCTGCAGCAGCAGATCCACTGGGAGATCGATAAATGCTCCAGTCCATGTCTTTCATCACCCATGACAATGAGGACCATGAGGAATCTGCACAAGCTCCTTTCTCGTATGAGCTTGAGGCAAATGATTCAGTTTATCGGGCATAGCCCTGTTTGTGACCACAGCTTCCTCGAAGATGTGCACACACAGATGGCCACCTTCCGTCGAGGCAATACCAGTGAACTCGGTGGTGTGAGGCTTGTCAAGTCCGTATGGCTGTAGTATGCGCAGTAGCTATCGCCACTCCGGACGTAAAGTCTGAAACTGAGTTTTTCTAGTGCACCTGCCTCACGGTCATGGGTGTTGCTTGTTGCACGCCCTTTTGGCAGTGTGTGCCTGTGCACGCACGGTTTCGAGACTCGGCTGTCGCTGGCAGATACGCACCTTCTCCTTCTGAGGGTTTCTAAACCAAAAGGCATCCAGAGACGCCAAAATCCCGTAACTACTGTTGGAGTATACAGAGGTGCTTGTACAAATACTGTAGGGTGATCCACGTCATGGTTTGCAGTGTAGTTCATCGCTTAACTCAGGGTTTTGGGTTCTCTGGGCTAGGCTTCATGCCGTTAAAGAGGTCACCAAACCATGTAGGTGCTGCCGCGCCCGAGTCTCCGACTCGTGCTTGTCCGATCAAGGTGTTTGAAATTTACTTCATCTTTATGACCTTTGATGAGCCAGATCTTCCAAAGGCCCTTAGTTAAGGAATACATCTACCTGGAATCATCTTAGGGATCTTACTTCAATGTAAAGGTAGCTTTCTTAATTAAAGCGTATTGGGAGATCTGGGGAGGACGAAATGTACCCTGAAAGGGTTTAAGGGTCTGCTACCATACAGGGGCTCACACTGTTCAGGACATTAGGCCTCGACTATTGAGGGTCATGTCGTCCTTACGCTTGCATGTTTGACTCAGAAGTGGTCTCGACCGCATGGCAGAAATTGTCAGCGTGCAGCTCTCCTCGATCCTGCAACAGTTCCTACACCTACAACCTAAACCCTAAACCCTACTCCAAGTGTTGTGGCCTCTTCCTTAGCCAGCCCCAGAATAAAAACAAACTACACCCTATATTGAATCCGAGTACACCCCTATTCTATCTAAGAAGGCCACTGTCTTGGCTCGTCCCATGCCTTCGCTCTCGCTGGACGCCCTGTGCACAGAAACTGTCTCGAACAAGTCAAGTTTGGGTAACCCTCAGATCTTAAACCCTAAAGCCTAAACCCTAATCCTAATCCCTTTATTAACCCGTAATCCTAACCCATGAAGTGCCAAGATGCCCGGTCAACTTGGTGCGGTGGTTGGGTGGTTGTAGGGTTAGCCCTTCTTGAATTGAGCACATGTTGCTTCTGAGCTGTGGGACTATCTCCGAGGCTCACTGAACAAGTCCAACAAAGCCCGATTCAAAACACCAGCAGCCTGCATCCGCACTCGTCAGAGGTGACCTCCGATGAACTCGAGGCCTGCAGTGCATGCCCTTGAACTTGTAAGGTTCTCTTTTCAAGGCTGCTGTGAAAGGCTTTGTTGAGAAAGAGACCTAAGTCCCTAGGAGCCTACTGTGGCTGTGAGGAGAGGATTTCCCAGTGTAGTGGTCTGTGTTTGTCGAGAGTTCGTGCACGCATGAATGCCTACAAACTATGTTGGTACTTTTTGCATCTGTCTGTAGTCGCACTGTAGTCTTAGATGCGTCTTGTTTGCTCATGTTGCGCCGCTTCTGCGGTACAGTAGTTTCTGCATCGTTTTCAATTTAGACGGGCAGTGGTGGCGGTCGCAGCAGTTGTGCTGGCAGTTGTGGTGGTGGTGGTAGTTGTCGGGTGGTAGTAGTAGCGGCACGCCAACTACAGCAACAGCAGCAACCACGACTAATACCACCACAACTACGAGGCCGACGACCAACAACGACGACAACCACCATCACCACTTCGGTGAAATCGTCATCATATGGGAGCCTAAATAATTGCCAATACTATTTTGGCGGTTCCTTATTACACTTATAGCATAATGGGCCCCAAAACCCTATTCTAACCATTAAGGCCCCTACAATATATGTTCAGTCTCGTTGAGTGAGTTTTGTATGTTTGTCAAGCTGTGTATCTGAGCATTCATTTACCAGGTCCGTGTGTGAGAGAGTTTGTCTGCCTGGCCTTCTTTTAATCTGCTTGCCTGTCCGCTTCCATATTTAAAGCACATATTTATATGTATACGCTGGGCCTCGGAGAAACCATTTGGAGACGTAAAACTATGGATCTAGAAGGCTGGGGTGGATCATGGGGGGGGGGGGAGGGGGTGACCATATATATATATATATATATTTATTTATTTACATATATATATATATTTACATATATATATATATATATATATATATATATATACACACATGTGCCATATATCGGGTGGGACTTAGACATCGAGTCTGTGACATAAGTTGATGTACAGACAGGCATAGAAAAAGCTAAGCAGTGAGATAGTGCGCTAAATCCTTACATAAACCGTTAACCCCCAACAAATCAAGCAGTCTAAAGCCCTAAAGCCCAAAAGCCCTAAACCCTAAACCCTACACCCTTAACTCTAAAGCCTAAAGCCCTGAAGCCCTAAAGCCCTAGAATCCCCGAAGCTATAGGCCTGAGGCCCTAAGCCCCATAGACTCTGGAGCCCTCAGCCCTAAATCCGAAATGCCCAGACACTTCGGGAAGCAAAAGCCAGTAATATAGGGGCCAAAATATTTACCTGCATTATTCCATAGGGCTCCTTATCATAATTATACTAGTAAAAAGAGCCCAAAACCCTATTCTGATTGTACAGGCCTCCTACATTATGTCGAAAAGAACCGCCTCGGAAAGCCTGACACCGTTAAGTCAATGCAGATGGAGCCCTATACAGTATGCTCCTAGATCCCGAAGCCGCAAAGAAACCCAAACGCCAAACCCGAAAGCTCTAAAAGAAGCCCGATAGAAAGCAGCAAATCCTAATCTTCTTATCAAGCTCTAAAGCACCTCCTCTCCTTTCGACTTCTGTAGGCTCGACTCAGAGAGTTGGAGACACTGGCAACTCTTTTCGATGCCGCCGGCAAGCACGGCCGGAGCTCCGCAGATTTGTTGGATCATTTTTTGGGTAGTTTTGAGGGCTTTCAGGGTCAAGCATTCGGTCAGTGCACGCTTTTACGGCTTTAGGGTTTGTAGGGTTTTGGGATTTGTGGGTCAGGTTGTCACTTTAGGTTCAGGCCTCTGGATGAATGTGCAGGGCTCACGACGTAGGTCCCTGACAGTTTTTGCCCACAGCCCCGGAATATTCACGCGGTTTAGCATTTAGGGTATGGGGTTTAGGGAAATCCTAAACTCACCGCCAAGCCCCAAGGCCCGAATTAAGGATATTGAAGGCCGAACCTCCAAGAACCTCGAACCCCCGAGGACAGTTTCAATGTTGGAGCAGAACCTCTGGGCCGCGCTTGGCATGGGCACCGGCGTGAATCTCTCTTTCCTGGCCCACCAGAGACTAGCTGCAGTGTCATGCTACAGAATTTCGCGATTCCCGGTTCTGAGGGTTCAGGGTTTAGAAATTGACACGCCGAGGGCTTAGAGATAGGGGGCTTTCGTTTTTTGTTGCATCGTGGGTGCTCTGGGTTGGTGACATTCTCGAGACTGGCTTTGTTATCTTATGCACTGTGGTTTATGCCTTGGTGCCTGGGGTTTGTGGAGACTCTACGTGATTACTGTTCATGGATCAGGTTTAAGATGCAGAGGTTTGGCTTTAGGATTCCGAAACGCGACAGCAGTTTGAGTTCTCAGAGCACCACTTGGCAAACAGCTTTCCCACGCCGCCATGATGCGCGCCATCATCATCCTCTGCCTCCTGCTGGCCAAGGTCTTGCTTCTTTCTACCGCATTCTCTCTCTCTCTCTCTGTCTCTCTCTCTCTCTCTCTGTTTCTCACCCCCATCTCTCTCTCTCTCTCTCGCTCTCCTTCCAAGGGAAAATAAAGAAGGAAGCAAACAAACAAAATAAAGATAAGAAAGGCAATGTGATAACGATGAAGTGAAGAAAAACAACGGAGAGGGACGGAAGAGGGAAGAGCAAAAAGAAGACACACAGCAAGAGAAGTAGAAAAGAGAAAAGAAGGAAGGGGAGGAAAGAGGCAAAGCAGTGCCGAAGCTGAGAGCTGGGAAGACAGGGATGAGGAAAGATAAGAACATACAAGAACCAAGGAACACAGGCAAAAGAGAAAGAGGAACAAAAGGACAGAGACAAAGAACAAGGGAGAACGAAGACGAGGGAAAAGAGAAACGAAGAACCACGACACATGGAAGCATGAAACATAGAGAAGAAGGAAGGAGCGGACCAGAAAACGACGGCAGGGAAAGACAAGAAGTAATAATTGAAGAAAAGAGGGAGAAGAGACAGGAAAGAAGGGCAAAGAACACACAAACGCCAGACAAAAGACAGATGAGAGAGACAACCGGTAAAGACAGAGAGCGAAAGTGAGGTGGAAAGCCAGACGATGTCAAGATTGTCTGATGACATGGCGACTCGAAGTTACATAGGTCATTATACTAATCCGTAAGATGATGCGTGTGATGATGATGCTGATGATGGTGATGATGATATGAATAATGCGACGACCGAATTCAGTACGCCATGCAACAGTAGCAGCAGCAGCCGCGGCAGCGGCAGCAGCAGCAGCAGGGCAACCAGGCAACCAGCGACCACGACACCAGCGCCAGCACCAGCACCAACGCCAGCGCCGCACCAGTACCGCCACCGCCACCGCCGCCGCCGCCACCGCCACCGAC